CACCTCGTGGAGGTAGAAATTGCAGATTTCCTGGCAGAGCCTGCTTGGAAGGAGGGAATTTCTCACAATTTAATAAGGAGCGCCAGTTACGTTTTTGAGCAATGCATCCGCAAATTGGAGTTCTAAACAGTGATCGTCGGGCTCCGACCCGAAAATGTTTATAACAATATTTATTATACCACAAAAGTCTCGTGAAGACCGATCTGACTTATCGGTAGTGCCCTAGACTCGCTCGTTTTGAAACTCGGCTGGGACACTGGCTTTCGTGGTTGTTCCCCGTCCCTCCAGATGCATGTCCAGATAGTACCTCGATTTGGAAGCAACAATTTTCTTCCAAATTTTTTCCAGCTCATCAACAATCCCAGCAGTCCGTGCTATATATATTAGTTACCGACAGCGCGCCCTAAAATTAAAGCGACAACAATGAAAGTTGATCTTGGGATCGGTCCGCGCGCCATCCAACAACCTGGGCCTGCTGCAGATGAGGCGCCTTCTTTTCAGCTCAGCCATTAATAAAACATTTTCTCCTTTTTACTGACAAAAATCACACTCTTTAAGTTGTAGTTTTCCCATAATAACGATCGGAAATTTCCAGGATTAAAACTAACCACTTTCATGTTAATAATAATATAGCCGGCCGATCACAGTGGCCGCTCGGTATAAGGCACGAACTGTCTTCACCATCTCGAACACTGGGATCGTGGGTTCGAATCCAGCTTGAGGCATGGATGTCTGAGTGTGTTTATTCTGTGTTTGTGCTGTCCTGTGTGCAGGTAACCGCATTGAGATGGGCTGATCCCCCGTCCAAGGAGATCTACCGACTGCCTAAAAAGATTAAAATACTGAAAAAGAAGCTAAAGTCCAACAAAAAAGGCCGTAGAGCCACACATGATTGATAGAATGAATGAATGAATGAATGAATGAACAAGAGAGTCGCTTGGTTTCTTAAACCAGAAATATGAAAACAGTAACTACATTATGTATCCCAGCTCACAGGAGCAAGAGTAACTTCAACATTCTATGCGAACCCTAGAATATGTTGTTTGAAGATTTCATCGTTGGTAAATTGTACCTCTTTTACGGGGTCAGATTAATCTTCAATTAGTCGTGCTGACCTGCGTCACACAACTGGTCACGATTGGTACACCTGTAACCAATTTTACGACTTCACGATCTCGTACATAGATTAAACCGGCAGCACTAGATATATTAAAAAGTAAAGTAAAGGTATCCCTATAACAGGCCGTGGAGGCCCATAGGGTTGTGAGATGTTGACGTTCCCACATTTTCTAGACAGTCGGCTCATAGATGGCGGTAAGGTTGTCAGCTCTACGCGCCGGCCGCCATTTACCCCCCAAAATATTCCTGGTACTCATTTCTGTTAGAGGCTATGTCGACCCCAGGGCCACAGTGCAGCTGGAAGTATTAGGTCAATTGAAAAAAATCCAATGACCTCATCGTGACTTGAACCCGCGACGTTCCGGCTTGTAGCATTGTGCCTCAACCAACTACGCTACCGCGTACAATTTTGCAAAAAATGAATTATATTTCCATTTCTTAGCTGTAGAGTCACTAATGCGTTTATTTTTCTTTTATAATTACAGTAACTTGGGCACTGGCTGGACGACCGAGGAGTCCGAATTGCATTCCCGCCGGGGGCAAAGATTTGCTCTTCCACCCAGCGTCTAGGAGTAAATCGGCTCTGGGGTTCATGTTACGGGTGCTGTGCTGAGGTAACGAAATACGTGTGATATACCTTCATTCTCTTGCGCATGTCCATGGCGTGGTGTTTAATTAGCACACGAACGACTGTATCTTTTACAGTATGTTTTTACACCAGATAAAATATTTGAAACATATTCATATCATAGCAAAAATTAACGGAAGTTGGAAGAAAATGCAACACAGCCTACGAAAATGAGGATTTGTTAAAACAGTTTAAGCTTACAGAGCATGTTATAGAATCATTACAGACAGCCGAGAAACTAGTCGCTCCGCCATTCTCAGTGGAAGTGCTAAGTGTCAACTAACTCCGTGATTTTAGTCCGCAAGTGAACTATACCGACCGAGCGACCGTCGCTTGTCGGCGAAGTTTAGTGAAAACTTTTGCGGATAGACGGTGTCGCGTGGTCAGCGCAACGAATCCCCACGGCCGTTAATTTAGGTTTTCTAGACCGGAGCCGCTATTTCCTTGAAATAGTTCCACAATTATCATCACGAGGCTGAGTGGACCCCGTTGCAGACCCACTACTTCTGAGAAAAATATCTGGCAGCGCCAGGAATCGAACCCAGACCTCTGGATCTGTAGCCAGGAACGCTGACCACTAGAGGCGGTTAATGACAACTAACAGTGCCCCTTAAACTCCATTAACCTGAAGAATACACTTACGGTGGGGGAAGGGGGGGAGGTAACTGTAGTACCATTGAACACAAGCTTTTCCAAAGAACACCTGTGAGTTACTGACGTCTGCCCATTGCGCCAAGTCAAGGGTTAATGTTGGTTCAATGTATCAGATAAATTAAGTCTGGGAGACAGAACTGATGTTGCAGGATGTTAGGTCCTCATAGCGGTCTTTACAAAGATAAAACGCCATGTATACCGTTGAAAGTGAACCGACGCTTCGGAGTAACATTTCGCCTCCATCTTCAGCTTTGCTTGCTGCCCTGCTTTTTGTTGGTTTCTTCATTGACTTACTCTTGAACCTTGAAGATGGAGGCGACCTGTTCCATCGAAACGTCGGTTGACTTTCAGCGGACTACACCGCGTTACATTTTTACACATATACTGTACACGGACATCGATTTCTGGGGTTTTGGCGCCAATATGAAAAAGTATTTAAATGAAAATGCAAACAAAAAATCTGTGCTCATTGCAGGGCCCGATCTCTCTTTTTTTCCCCCCCGTATGAAGAGTACTTTTAACCGAACCGTCCCGAGTGGAATCAAGCCAAGCCGTGACGATCATCGACGCCACTACCTCCGGCTGCTGCCTGGAATATTTGGCAACCTTGCACGCGCGACCGGTGAGGTGACAACCTGGGAGAGACTGCGGTATTTACAACTCCCCCGCGGGCCAGACTGTCTGACTACTGCACCTCCAGAAACATGGAAATTAAGATTCCTATGGCAAATGAAGAACGAAAAGCCGTGGACATAAGTAGAACACGGTATCACTGAGTAGTTTAGAGACTGGCCTTCTTATAATTCACCAATAACAGGCATGTGACAGAAATAATCATGTTTATCATAGTGCTTGGCTTTCAGTAGTACGTGAATGTTGTGGACCCACAAAAAGGGCTCTAAGTTAGCAGTGTATTCTCTACAGCCAGCACAAAGTTCTCCCTATGTTTCTAAACAAACGCACTTTCCACGGGAACCTATGTAATGTAAGTGTTGATATGCATTAAAACAAAATATATTTCACGATCCTACCACGGAAAAATATATTGCTCATGTAAATAAAGTAGAAAACTACATCACTTTTACATGTTAGTATTTGTCTTACGCAGTGAAAAAGTTTTGCGAACTCTGCATTAACAGAAGTTCGTCGGCAGAGGTGAAGTGGGGGGAGGACTGCAAGTGTCTGGTAGACAGCTATCGCTTCGAGTCAAGTGACAAGGTCAAATAATTAAAATAGCTGGCTGGCCCTTTGTGGTGCCCTTGAACTGGACAGCACCTTTCTGTGGAACTTGAACAAGACCTTCCTCGCAGGAGTTACGCCAGGTGATGCTACCTCGCTCGTAAAGGAGGACCCCCAAGCCAATGACCCCTAGCGACAAATACCACCATAGATATAATTAATCTCCTCATAGACGGGCAGACAGACGTCATTGAAATGCTGCGTCATCGAGCTCGTAAATTCATAGTTCGGTGTTTTAACTTGTAATGTCAACCGGTGTCCAGAGCGGCAGCCGGCAACGCATCTTTCCTTCAACTGGAACTTTTTTTTACAGACGTTCCAGAAGTGAGCAAAGTCATGCCAGGGTAGACTGATCTACATTAGGACGTGGCAATTGTGTCTCTCTTCAACTCCAGAAAAGTGCTCCGAAAAAAAAAGAGGCGGTGCTCGCTTAGGGGCCACCGCCCAGATTTAGGGAAGCGTCGCTGTTCAATTACATTGTGCCTAGTAATGATAGTCGTATAGTGTTGCGGAATAGGGGGAGGCGGGAAGGGCTAGGGGGGAGAACTTTATTGATTTTTAGGGTGACACTGTCAACCGCCGTTGACTGTGAGTTCACGATGGAAGACTTGCGAACGAAAAAATTCAGCGGATGAAAGTATCGAAAAAACAAGAAAAAATAAAAGTTTCACTTCATAAGTCAGGAAAATAAGTTAAAACAGCTGGACGGTGATCGTCGTCATCTACAGAGTGGCTTGCTATCAACGAGGATGTGTGGCAGGACAACATGCCCACAGCTGCCTCCCTCAGCCGGTTGCTTCGTGCTGTAAAAATGGCAGCATTCCGTGGCTTCTCGCAGGATAATTTTTGCAGAAGGCCTAAGAAGAAAATTAGTTGACACGTCTGTCACATCCTCTCGCACGCAAACGGCCCTCGCAAGAGGCAAGAAAGGTGGGCGTTCGGTTTTTGATTTAAAATATTTCAATATCTATTTATGTGAGTTCGGAAAAGAAAAATGGTGTATTATGTCGGAAGTACTGTCGTGAATTTTAGCGGAGTTTAATTATCGCGTTCGTAATTAATTTTATAATTTTGCTATTTGTGTGGATGCATATGTAGCTTGTGGTTACTTCTGCACGAAAATGAATATTTAGAGGGAAACAGTGAAGTTTTTATGTCGTTTTACGGACTTTTTTTGGTGTAGTAACACATACTTTTATGTTGATTTAAAAATGGGACTTGAATCAAGTGAGAAATTAATAATATGTTTTTAATATAAATGAACTACTTATATCGTTTTATTTATTGTGAAATATTTTCAAGTAATTACATATATGAAGAATATTAGTTTTCGTAGAAATTTTCCATTGTGGGGAATATAAGAATAGTGTTATTTTGATCATGGTGGTGTTTACTTGCTGCGTTTCTTGAGAAGTTATTTAGAAAAGAGGAATATCTAACCAGGCGGACTGAATTTTTACAGAATGAAGGAGAAATGCTGTGAAAGGACAGAAATGTTTATCTGGAATGATTTATTTCAGTTTGTGTTAAGTTATGCTTCACACTGTGTTGAATTGTGCGTCGATATAGGCCAGAACTTAGAGTGTACTCCGAGTTATGCGTCTAGTAAGGCACAATACAAAAACATTGAATTTTCGCGTATTCTGACACTGACAGAATGAGACAAGGACGCGGCGGCCAACGAAACAAGAAATGTAAATTAATATTTTTGTTTGTAGGGCTCTAGCCCAACGTATGCAGTAATTTAAGTAATTCTTAGTGTAAGATGTAGTGGACATAGCATTGCCAACTGTAAAGATTTAATTGTATAGGTTAACATAACCTATCAGTATTGTTGATTAAGAGTTTTTGTAATAACTTAATACAACAAACCTTTAATGACTGTGAATTAGAAGTTCAGAATATATTTACAAATATTAGTAATATTTAATAATAGCACTGTGTTGCCATTAATTTTCATGAAATCAAGAATTTGAAGTCAATCCTATTTCATGTGGCGTTGTATTTAACTACTTATTAAAGGATACCAGATATTTTTCACATTCATTTCGCGCTCTCATTTTGATAGATGCTAAAAGAAACGAGTTCTGTGCTATATTTACTTTCTAAAGGAAATTTGTGGTCTGCAAGTTACCTTTACGTACACGATAAAATTATTATTTAGCAACAAAAGAGATTAAAATTTGAATGTGTTAGAAGAGTAATCTTATTATAATTTGAATATGTTATTAGTGTGATCGTTTGTGGTAAAGTAATGTGATTTTATGTGCCACAAATGGGAACTAAAAGGTGAAAAAACATTGTTTGATGACCTTCACGATAATTGGTTTAGAACATAGGACTTGATTTTCAAGGATCAATGATGTTTCTACATTTGTTCTTCAAATATTGTAGCTTTTGAAACGAATGTGTTTCGGAAGCAGTGGACATCATTCCCATAAATGTTCTTGCTCTGTACAGATGTATGTAGAATACACCTGTATAAAATACTAGTATATCAAGCGTTTGTGTAGTGTAGCATTTATAGCTTAGAAAACCCAAGGGGCTTTCCTTAATATTAAAATTTTGTTGCATTTGAATAAAATTTTTCTCTTAAATTGAGGTTATACATATATAACTTAGGCTTTCAGGGGTGATTCATGCCATTGTACATTGCAGTTGTCATATTCAGGGTGAATTGACCATGAAGATGACAGCTGTAGTGAATGCTGAAACACTGCAGTGGCTTCAACATATGACACAGCCAAACTTCACAAACTAAGTTACACATTAGACGCAAGTTGCAAAAACCTAAGAACAAAAATAAGTTTTAGTACTTGTGTATTTTTGCGGTATCCGTGTTCAAGAAGTATAGTGCTGTGATGTACGCATTCATTTCACATTTTGTTGTCTTATTTTGGTTTTAATTTGTGATTACAGGCTGTAGAGGTCGTGGTGTGCCACCAATCACGCTGCCAGCCACACTGGAGGACCCTGCTGCCACCTGGAAGGGACCGCCACCAGGCTCGGAGCCCCAGAACTTTGCACCTAACTCAGGACAAAATTTCTCTGGGCCGCCGGCGGGCTTCCAGGGGCCATCACCCTTTCCAGGCCCGCCGGCGGGGGCCGGTTCTCCAGCTGGTGCGCCTCCTTACTCTGGGCCTCCTCCAGGATCAGCGACACCTCAATATACAGCCTCTCCCGCACCCTCAGGCTCGTCCACGCCAGGACCTGGCCCACCTCAGTCTGTTGGAAATGCGGGCTTCCCTCCACCTCCCAATAATGGGCCACCATACAATGGACCAGGGCCAGGGCCTTATGGCTCTCCTTCAGCTGGAGGACCACAGTTTGTTGGTCGTCCTGGCTCCTCTGGGCCTCCATTTGTACCTCCTGGAGGTGGTAATCCTCATTTTGCATCTCCTGGACAAGCATTTGGTGCCCCTCAGTTTGGCATTCCTCCAGGGTCTCCTTATGGTCATGGACCAAGCCATCCCATTCCGGGGCCGATTCCTGCTCATGGCATAATGCCTGGCCAGATTCCAGGACCCACTGCAGTGGACAGGATAGATCAAGGGTAAGTGTTAAGTACCAGCTTATTCTTTCATGTATGGTGTATAGAAGCCCTTAAATATAATTGTGAGAGTCCATGCAACATGTTTCTTAAAATTTCTGATCGATCATTCAACTTTGTCAAGGAATTAGTTGAATGAATAATATTAGCAGCAGTGTTTTATTAATATTTCTTCTGTGTGACTTCCCATGAGATGAAAATAATGTGACATGAACTTCCATGCAATATATATTATATATATGAGAAATTTATGTGAGATTTTTTAAATTTATCTTTTGTAACAACTTTGAAAATTCACTTTTGTTGAATATTCATGTGCTGATCTATACTTAGTCATAGATTCTACGTTCCTGTAAGAACATTGGCCTCCTTTATGATAGATCGCTTCCGTTCAGTATCTGTTGTTAGATTGCTTACCACACATTGTTTTGCATGGTTAACCTGTAGGATCAGGGCTAGCTTTCATCAGGCCTCTACCAGGAGCTTATCCGACTGATGACATAGCTTACCAGACAATCGGAACATCCAAATCTACCCACCTTGTTAAGGTCATACAGTATTACAAAGGAAATCCAATGTATGTTAGAGGAGATGAACATTTTTGTCATGGCATAAATGCTTTTCAGAAAACACTGATTGGTATCCCATGAATGATGTTACATTTAACCATTTGAGTAATGCAGATTGATGTCTTGTTTCCGTAAGAATGAGAAGTTGTACTCCATTTTGGTAGACATGAGTACATATATCATGTATGTGATATCACATATATCATTGTCCTAAATGGTACACATACAAGTCTGTTGTTAAGATCACACTGTGGTTACAACATGGCCGCGCCATAGCTCAAGTGGTTAGTCGCTGGCTTCCCACTGCACCGGCCCGTGTTTGAGCCCAGCTCTGGTCAGGTGGGATTTGTGGTGGACAAAGTGGCAATGGGGCAGGTTTTCTCAAGTACCTCAGTTTCCCCTGCCAATCTTCATTCCACCAAGTTCTCCATCATCATAATCACCCAGGGCAGGCTTCAGTAGGCCAATCAGTGGCCGCCGTGCTGAGTGGAACCAGTTGGACTCCACCCCCCACTAAGGAAAGAAATAATGGTTACAACGTTTTGTGGTTAAATTATTTTTAAGATCTAAAAGTTAGTGTCAGTGGCACATTGGACATTATCCATTGTCTTGTCTTTATCTAAAAACCATCGTGTTTATTTTTCAAAACACAATGTATCAGAGACAATTCAGTCTCTGATATGTTGCGGTTTGAAAAATAAACAGGACAGTTTTTAGATAAAGGCAAGGCGATGGATAATGTCCAAAAACTTAATATTTGTACTAAATTATTTTTCCATGTACTTTCATTGCTTATGTACCATATCAAAAATGTTTCAGACCTAAATGAAGTTATGTCATGTACAAGTTTTTTATACAGTAAGCATTTTTTTTTTGAGAAAAACCGGTAGCCTTTGAGCTTGTGAGGGGCTATACAGGTATTTTGTTACCTGCTTGACTATGAAGCATGCTTTCCACAAATAGGGAGGTAGTAAGTCATTGACTGGAATTCAGTAGAATAAACAACCGATGATAAGCGCACAGCCACATACTCTTCTGAATGCCCAGGTCAGTGAGATGTCTCCTTTCAGAGTGAATTCACTTGTTTGTGGTATATGGAAGAACAAGGCATACACTGGTACAACATGAATTTTTGTTTGAATGTTATGTAAGTTTGTGGTCTGTGAGAAAGTGCTGTAGGAGATATCAAGAATAAATTGCAGATGAATCATCAGACCGGTTTTCCACATGAAATATGTGCGACACAGATGTGAGATTAAATTTTTTCTGAGATAGCTGCAGAAGAGAGGCTGTACAAGCTTCCTTAGCAAGGTTCATTTACTGGCCACAGAGTCCATATTTCTATGCTAGCACAGATGAAGTGCTAGGTGACAGAATAATGAGCCAGTGTTTGTGGCGAGCATGCTGTTCCGATTTAACCCTGTGTGACATCTACTTTGTAGTGTGGTTTGAAAAACCTGGAGTAGCTTTCGGAAAACATATGAACTGGAATTTCACCACAAAGAGTTGCATGTAGGTAACCAAAACGTGTTCTGAAGATTTGAAGAATTCATTTGAGGAGAAGAATGTAATTTCCAGAATCAGTTGTAGTAAGGGTAGCTTTATTAATGCTATGACTTCTGTATTCCATTTTATTTGTGGAATATTTAATGATGCCATTTGTATCTCATGCTCTATAGCTCCATGTGCTGTCCCTTGACTGCTTAAGTAACTGATCACAGGGAAGAGACTTGACTATGTTGCTGTTTGCGGAATGCTCATTTCATTGTGAAGCAAGGAGGAATGTTTGTATTTTAAACTGATACATACCAAATTAAATTTACATTGTGGAATGCAGGCTTCATGGTCATGCAAGAAGATATGTCGCTGTACTGGACTGGTACAAACCAAAATTAAATTTGCTTGATTAACTAGCGTGAACATGCAATAGCGGATTTCATTGAAAGTGTTAAATAGTTTCAGAGATGAAACATTCAGTGGGGCAGAAATGGCCTTGTGACTATATGTTAATTTTATGCATTTTGTCCGAATAGTGATTGAAACATGAAAATATATTCCATTTGTCCATATAGCCCACCATAGTTCTGTACATGCTGCTGTTCCAGAGTGAGGGGCTTAGGTAGCTCTGTGCTTATACTGCCTGGGCTGCAAGCTGAATGACCAGGGAAAAGGGGGTGTGATTTCTTTCCGGGCAAAGAATTTTCTCCACAGAGTTCAAACAGGATCTGAGGCCCACTCAGCATCCTTTCCAGAGAGTATGAGGGGTTCATCCCCCAGAGGTAAAGTGACTGGGAGGTGAAGCTGACCACTGACAGCTGTCTAATTCTGAGGTTAATGTGTGGAGTTGTACTTCAACTCCCTCATAAGTCCTCAGGGTGTAGAGTTTAATAAAACACCAGGACAAGTTTTGGTGAAGAGTGCAGACAGTGATATTGAGATTTGAAGTGTGGAATTCAGAATGACAAGTGACAAATTTGTTTTGATTTTCCAAGTATTTGTATGAAGAAAACAAGGGGGTTCATGTTTCAGAGTTGAAGAGATGTTCATCGCCCACTCCTTTTGCAAGGCATTCAGATTGGGGGGATGTTGGTTGTACCTTCTATATGGCTACTGTCTCGACATTTGGTTGGAGGGGCTGAGGAATCACAAGCAATTAGTTGCACTGCAGTTAATTCAGTGATTTATTCATTACTAGCTGTGCCCGGCCACGCCTTGCTGTGGCTCAGTCTGCCCGTTCTTCCCCAGTTAGATTTGAAATTACTTGACGCATTGCTTCCGCTCCGCGAGTACGACCGCCAAATGCACCGGAAAATAAGGAAAACAGTTAAGAAAACAAAATGAAAAACAATGAAAAATAAACTATACTCACGAAATGAACGCTGTGGTAAATGACACACACGGCGGCTTCCTGTAGACTGTTTATATTCGGCGTTTCCATGGAAGTATACTTTCCGGTTTCATCCGTTGTTATGCAATGGAACTTCTTATCCTATGCAACTGTTAAAATTGCAAAACATAAAAAAAGTAAAGAATACGAACTGGAAAACAAAGAAACAAAAAAAAAAATACTAACAAAATATTTCAATNGTGGAACTTCTTATCTTATGCAACTGTTAAAATTGCAAAACATAAAAAAAGTAAAGAATACAAACTGGAAAACAAAGAAACAAAAAAAAATACTAACAAAATATTTCAGTTCAAACACAGATCGATCGACACAGCTCAATCCCACTGCCAATTGCACTGAAAAATAAGGAGAACAGTTAAGAAAACGAAATGAAAAACAATGAAAAATAAACTATACTCAAGACTCACTTCCTCGGCGGTTATTCCAGACTCGTGATACACGAGTCACTCATGATACTGAACAGTCGCCGGAGCTACACTCTCTTATACATATAGCCAGCGGTCGGACGGGATAGGGAATACCTAATCGAAGAGTTAGTTTCATCTGTTGCTTAGGAAATGCTAGCAGAGAACGCCTTGTAGAAGTCTTTCGTTTCATCCGTTGTTACGCAAGGGAACCTCAATTCCTATGCAATGGTCCACTGTTATTGCATTTCCATGGAAGTATACTTTCCAGTTTCATCCATTGTTACGCAATGGAACATATGCAACGGTCTGTTCCAGCGTTACTATCGAAACGACTCCTGGATTCCGAACATGTGACATGTTTTTACCTGTCACAGGCGTGACATCTACATAATAGGCATATAAAAATGCGCGCGTATTCGAATGCAACGTTCTATCAAAATTTCGAGGCAATCGGTGAAGAACTTTCGGAGATCTTCGAGGAGAGACAAACCAACAGTTACGTTTTTATTTATATGGATTCCATGGAAGATTAATAGTGTCTGTAGTGAAGGACATTCTATGTGAAGGATGTCATAATTTATACACTTTCCCTAGCATTATCAAAGTAGTAAAATTACTAAGGTTACAGTACACTGGACACGTATCTAGGAGGAAGGAAATGAGAAATACCTACAGAGTTTTTATAGGGCAACCTGTTGGAAAATGACCATTAGGATTACCAAGAAGGAAATGAGAGGATAATAGTAAAATGATGTTAGGGAATAAGTTCTGAGGATGTGAACTAGAGTAATTTGACTTAAGCTGGAGTCAGGTTGTGAGCTTTGGTTAAAACTTTATGGGTCCATTAGCAGAGCATTGAGTAGTTAAAGTGCATTTTGGGTACACAGTGAACATCATTTAAGCCTTTATTCTTTGTTCTGGCAACAGTTAGTATAGAAGGAACTTGTGTATTGTCTCAGGCAACAAATATGTCATTGGCCATGCATCGGACAACATAAATTTTGTCCATAGCATTTCCATATAAGAAGCAAATGATATACAGCTTCACTCTATGTTAAATGTTGAAAGGGGCAGGGGTTATACTGTTAAACTGAATGGCCAGCATATATCTTCCCAGTT